TTCTAACCCTAGTTGACATACACTTCAGATTTTTTCAACAGCAGAGGACGTAAACTTCCCTCTAATGCATTTTCCCACTACCAAACAAAACTATTCTCTTGATAGTGTGTGCTGGCTTCTCTTTCCAGAATTCAAGGATACAATCTCTCTGTTCATCACCTCTCCTTTCCCTGTAATTCACTCAAGACAACCTCAGTACCTCTATTACCTGGTCACAAGTGAGGATGCCTTGCATTCAAGTCTCATTGGCTGGGGGGAAAGTCATTAAGCAGAAGTAGTAATTCTTGTCATTAAGCTTTCTCCAAAGCTGTTCCATCAACATTTTACTCTTACTCTTAGAGTCTAGCCTCAATGCCATCTGATAGACAGTTGAGTATTCAACAGCCCCTTTCTGGGACAGAATTTTTTAGTCGACTGTGTATTTTAACCCTGAGCAATGGAGCTCCTGGCTAAGAGAGAGAAGGGAAAAGAGAGGGAAATGCTGCAATGTTACCTTTTAAGAGAGGAAATTGAGACAAATAGTTTTTATGGAGCTAATACACAGCCTCCACTGTCCCACAATAAGAGCAATTGAGCTTAAACACCAGAAAAGGCTTTTCTATATGAGTTAAAAACAGAAAGAGAGAGCAAAAGGGAGGATGGGCTGGAGTAATCTTGCTTGAAGTTCTCTCACCCTAAGGAAGAACCTTCTGTTCCTCTGTCATACACAAGTGCTTAGGGCTTACATGAGCTCCATCCACACTTTACTAGGAGCAGATCATCCTACTCAAGACAATAAAAAAGGAATCAATCATGTATTTTATGTATTTAGAGGCACGTGAGTACACTTTTCTCATAAGTGAAGCAGCACACCCCTGCCTGACTTCCTAGGACCTCCATAACTGAAGTATAGTCATGAGTCAGAGATTCTTAAACCAATTCTGGTTCTGCTTTTTTCACTTCACCAGACCAAACTTGACCAGATTCTTTAATGGCTCCAAAATCACAAACTTTCGAACTATTTTACTCTTGTTTTCCGTTTTCCTTTACACCACTATCCAGGTGGTACAGATTTTTCTTAAAAAAATCTATGTCTGAGTGTACAGAACTTCAGCTGAAATCCAAGCAGGGAATGGGAGATCTATCGCTTTCCTTATTACAGAAATATTGCTGATATTAATGCAGCCTAATGTTATATTAAGTCCTTTGACAGGAATCTCAAACTATTGGATCTTATCTGATTGGTGGCCAACCAGATAGTTATAAATGAGATGGAGAGATAGGTCATTCTCTTCCCATAGTCCCCTCTTCCTTACCCTATTTACCCCAAGATGCTGAGGCAGGAAATAATGCACACTCCTTTGTGAACTCCTCTTCCACTTCCCATTTTTAAATAGAAACATAATTAAGGCATAGTCTTCAGCCCTTTGCTCATCTCTCTAAACTCATTCTCCTGCAGATCTCAGTCACCCTCATGGCATCAATCATTATACCACAGAAATCCCAGCAGTGTACAGTCTCTGGCTTCATCTTAGTAGATATACTGGGTGCATCCATCTGGATGTTCCAGCATTACTTCAAACTCTGTCCTTAATTTTTCTGTTAGAACCATCTCTTCTCTACAAACCATGCTTTGTGTTTAGCATACTCATCTGGGGTCCAGTTTAAGAAGGCCACCTTCTTTTTTCAATAAATGTATTATATAGTTAATCATTTTGTTTATATAGAATGTATAGAACCTGTTCACAGAATATCAAGCATTGTGTATTTTTCCTGTAGGGAACATTTATTCATTGAATTCCACTCTCACATTTAGATAATTTAATAGTTTTATGAAGGAAGTGAAATGCCCCCTTCCCCCGCCCAAAATTGAAAATGTGAGTGCTGATTTTCATGGACACATTTTATCAGGTGAAGTAATTTCCTTTTATTTCTAGTTTTCTATGACTTTTTTAAAATCATAAATGAACAAATGCCTTTTTCTGCATCCATTTACATAATTATATATTTTTTCTTTTGTATTCTGTTAAGATGTGGAATCACATTGATTTTTTTGAATGTTAAACATGCCTTCCATTCCTGGCATAAACTCTTATGATCATGTTATATCATCCTTTTTAATATATTGTTAAATTCAACTTTATAATATTTTGTTTTATATTTCTGTGGCTATGTTTGTGAGGGATATGTGTCTTTAGTTTCCTTTTCTTTTTCTTTTTTGTATTTATTTTTTTTCTTCGCTATTTACCAACTGAAATTTCCTTTTCTTTTAATGTCATTGTTTAGTGTTACTATACTGGATATGTAATTTATTGGGATGTGTGTTTTCTTCTGCTCTTTTATTGAAAGAGTTCATATTGAGTTGGTGTGGTTTCTTTCTTAAATGTATAATATAATTAATCAATGAAACCATCTGACCTGAAACCATTTGACCTTCTCTGTGAGAAGGATTTTTAAAATTACAAACTTAATTTATTTCATTGATTCAGATTTCTTCTTGATTTAGTTTTGGTAGTTTGAATTGAATTGAATTCCTGACATAGGGGATTTGAATCTTATCTCTTTTTCTTGATCCATCTAGCTAGAGATTCATGAATGTATTGTGTTTTAAAAACCAGCAATTGACTTTGTATATTTTCTCTATTGTTTGTCCATTTTTATTGCATTTATTTCTGCTCTTACTAATCTTGGGATTAATTTGACCTTTTTTTTTTTCTAGCTACTTAAGATGGGAGTATAGATGGTTGATTTTAGAGTTTTCCTCCTTTCCAATTATATAAAGTTATAAATTATTCTCTAATTACTGTATCATACTAATTTTGATACAGTGTGCTTTCATATTCATTGAGTTCAAAATATTTTCTAATTTTCCTTCTGACTCTTTTTAAATCCAGGTGCTATTTAGCAGTATACTTTTTAATTTCTAGGTATTCGAGACGTGAAAGTTATTTTTCTGTTATTGGTTTCTAATTTAATGCTACTGTTGCCCAAGAATGGATTCTGTATGATTTCAACAAAGACATTTATTTAAATGTGTTTTTGACCCAATTCTGTTGTGCAGAATATTCTTGAGCATTTGAAAAAATGTATATTCTGCCACTATTGCCACTATTGGGTGGAGTATTCTGTAGATCTTAATTAGATCACATTGGTTCATTGATAATGTTATTTAAATCTTCCATGTCCTCACTGAGTTTTTTTCCTGTATATTCTTTTGTTAATGAGTGCTGGAATTAGGAATTTGTCTATTTCTGCTTTTATTTTTACTATTTTTGGGATAATGTGATTTAAGACATATTTTCTAAGAACATACACATTTAGGATTGTTCTATGTTGGTAATAAGATGATCCTTTTATCACTGTGAACTATCCTTCTTTCTCCTTGGTAAGATTTCTTATTCCGAGTTCTATGTTTCTGATATTAATACAGCTACCAACATTTCCATGGTTGGCCTTATTTTCCCATTTTTTTTAACTTTAAGTTCTGGGATACGTGTGCAGAATGTGCAGGTTTGTTACATAGGTATACATGTGCCATGGTGGTTTGCTGCACCTGTCAACCAGTCATCTAGATTTTAAGCCCTGCATGCATTAGGTATTTGTCCTAAATGCTCTCCCTCCCTTTGTCTCCCACCTCCTGACAGGCTCTGGTGTGTGATGTTCCCCTTCCTGTGTCAATGTGTTCTCATTGTTCAACTCTCACTTATGAGTGAGAATAGGCAGTGTTTGGTTTTCGGTTCCTGTGTTAGTTTGCTGTGAATGATGGCTTCCAGCTTCATCCATGTCCCCCAAAGGACATGAACTAATTCTTTTTTATGGCTGAATAGTATTCTGTGGTGTATACGTATTTTTCCATTCTTTTGCTTTTTACCTGTCTTTGCCTTCATATTGAAAAGGGCATTAAATAGATAGCATAAAGTTGGCCTAAACATTTTTTTGTGCATTCTGACAATCTTTGCCTTTTAATAAGAGTGTTTAGACCATGTGTATTTAATTCAATTATGAGTATGATTGTTTTAAACTCTACCATCTTACAGTTTGTTTTCTCTTTATCAGATTTTCCCTTTTGTATTTCTTTATTTTGAATTAATTATGCTTAGTACTCTATTTTATCTTCTCCATTGGCCTCTTAGTTATATCTCTTTTTTTTCAGTAGTTGTCAGGAGCTCAAAATATTCATTGCAATACATTCTACCTTCAAATAATAACATACCACTTCACATGTATAAGAAACTTACAACATTACACTTCCCTTCTATTCTTTGTGTCATTGTTATCATGTTTTACTTCTGGGTATGTTATAAACCCCCAAATAATTTTCACTTTAAACAATTACCTTTTTTAACTCAAAAATTAAAAACTAGAAAACATGTTTATATATTTATCTGAATTTTTACCATCTCATGCTCTTTTCATTTTAACATCTAGAGAACACTCATAAAGAAACAAAATCCTTGCTCAAATAATGTATTTTTCTTCATAATCACCACTATTCTCAAACCTTTGAAAGCTCTGTTAATGATGATTTAAGTTCTCCCACATGGAGTGACTATGGCTGGTAAAAATTGCAGTGAATGAGGGCAGTTTCTTATATTATTTCTTGGCTCTTAGTTTATCATGTAGAAAATGTCTTCCATGAGATATTGCAATAATTACAATCCAGCCTTGGGAAGCAAGCTCAGGGGCTGTGAATGGAATCCACAACTGCTTGAAATCTTGATCTAGACAGACTAAATCTCTTCCCTCAGAGACTTCAAACACTGCAGCCTTCAAATTACATCCAAGAAAAACTTCACCCAAGTAAAATTTCCCCCTCAATATCCTTTCTCTATCCCATCCTATCCTGTAGTTAGGGAAGAATGCAGGGCTAAATCAATATCCTTAGACCTTTCCACTCAGGTGGGATCAGAACCTTTAGTTACTCCATCTGCAACAGAACTTGAAACCACACTTTCAAGAAATAGTATTCACATGTGACCTGGTCCTAGACTTCCAGTAAGAATGACTCAGAGTCTCCCAGCTCTGAAATACTATAGTATTTTTGGTCTTAGGGTATTTTCAGGAAGGTGACAGTGAAGGGTTCTTCAAAGGAGGCCAGAGGATAGAAGACTCAATGAAGGGATAATCTCCATATCAGTGCTACAGAAGTGTTAACATTCATTCATTGCCTTCTCTTTGTTGGGAACTTTACTAAGGCATCACTGCTTTAAGGTAACAGATAAGGACAGAGCTTGAAGGGTCAGCAATTCAGTCAGCCACTGGGTTAGGGAACACGTGAAGTAAGAAGAAAGGCTGGGATGGAGTTTGTAGGGCAGCTGAAGTTCAGATCTCTCCTAAGTCCTCTTCTGTTCAGATATTTTGTCACCTGCAGCAACACACACAGTTACTGTCATTCCTGGGTTCAGTACTGTAAGCCCACACCCATATTCCCCACTCTCTTTATATCTGATCTTTCCAGTTCTCTACACTGTTCAGGTCCCAGGGAGATGGTGGTCATCCCTGCACGTGCCCTGGTCCTCCAAGTGAACAGCACATAGGAGCCAAGGAGTTCCCTAAAGTCATCAAATTTAACCCCCAAACCCCAGCTGACTGAGGGCATCCCACATGCTTCATGTCTCCAAAATATCCTGACAAGGGGAAGGGCCACATTACTGAGGGCAGAGAAGAAACTTAACTCTGGAATGAGACTTGGAATGGACAAACATCCAAACCAGGGCCGGGCGCGGTGGCTCAAGCCTGTAATCCCAGCACTTTGGGAGGCCGAGGCGGGTGGATCACGAGGTCAAGAGATTGAGACCATCCTGGTCAACATGGTGAAACCCCGTCTCTACTAAAAATACAAAAAGTTAGCTGGGCATGGTGGTGCGTGCCTGTAATCCCAGCTACTCAGGAGGCTGAGGCAGGAGAATTGCCTGAACCCAGGAGGCGGAGGTTGCGGTGAGTCGAGATCACGCCATTGCACTCCAGCCTGGGTAACAAGAGCAAAAACTCCATCTCAAAACAAAAAAAAAAAAAAAAAAAATCCAAACCATATCAATGAAGGCAATGAAGGAAGGATACTTGCTTGCATTGTGTAAACTGCTCTTTGAAAGGATTTCAAAGCCAAGGTAAATTTTTTTAAATGACCTCTATTGAACATCTGACAGTGGTACTCCTTCCTGGAATTCTTTAATTCCTTGGCTTATGTGACAACATATTCTCCTAATTCTTCTGCCACACTGCTTCTTCTCCATTTTTGTTAAATATTCCTCTTTTGATAGCTTGTTAATCATATATCTTTGCATTAATTTTGCTTTTTCAAGATATTTTGTTATACTATGATTTACTTTTATTACTGAGTTCTTCTGGTATCCCCCAAATTTTGCACCTAAGTCAAGTGCATTCCTGACATCACCTTAGTCTCAACCCTCCTTTTCATACTTCCTCTTAACATCTGACATTCTCCATTCACTTCATTCTGTTATAAATCATTATAGATATAATTATAAATGTGTGTGAACAAGGAAAAATAAAGAATTTTTCCTACTTAACAGTAGAACACACTACAATGTTACGGTAGTCAAAACACCAGGACACTGGCACAAGAAGAGACAGAACAGTGTAACAAGAAGAAACTCAGATACAGGCCCATCTGTAATGGGAGCTTTCAGTATAGCAAAGGAGACACCACAAACTTATAGGGAAAAGGTGAGCTATTTAGTAGTTGTAGGAACACTGGCCCATTATATAGAGACAAATAAAACATGATCCCCATCAAACACAAAGGTGAATCCCAGATAAATTAAAGTAGTAAATGTGAAATTTAATCCAATAGGAGATATTTTAAGAGTATCTTTGATATAGTATGGGAAAAATTTATTTTAAAAAAGACACACAAACAAAAAAACAGTTGATGAACTTCGTTACAAAATATCCAGGATTTCTCTTCAATAAAGGAAAACAAGGAGAAAGTTGCCAGAAGTCAGATTAGGGGAAAACATTTGCAATGTCTAAAACTGACAAGGGACTACTTACTAGCAGACTATATAATGATCTCCTGCAAATCAACAAGAAAAAGGTAGAAGCCCACAGTACAAAAATGGGCAAAGAATGTGAACAGGCAATTTATAGAAAAGGAACCCCCAAGTGGCTAATCAGTCCCAATTATAGCCCCAATTATAAGTAATTAAAGAAATGTAAAATAAAACAGCATACTTCTTTATGCACATGAAACTGGGAAAACTTAGAAAACTGGATAATGTCTAGTGTTGGTGTGCATTTAGTAGTTGCAGGACATTTCAGGTACTGACAAAGGAAGTACAGATGAGTACAGCCATTCTGATGAGCAGATGAGCAGTACTTAGCCAAATGAAGGAGCTGCATCTCCAGCAATACTGCAATCCCTTTCTAGGATACATACATTCCAGGGATGCAGGTCAGGTCCACATTCATATGCAGGTCCATGTGAGATACAAGTATTGTTTGCAATAGTAGAGAACCAGGGATAATCCAGGTATCCCAGAAGCAATATAGATATGTGAATGATATGATTTAGATATTTGTCCCTTCCAAGTCTTATGTTGAAAATTGATCCCCAGTGTTGCAGGTGGGGCCTGGTGGGAGGTATTTGAATAATGGGAGAGACTCCCTCATGAATGGCTTGGTGCCCTCCCCAGGGTAATGAGTGAGTTCTTACTCTATTAGTGCACATGAAGCCTGTTGTTAAAAAGAGCCTGGCACCTCTTTCTCTCTCTCTTTCTCCCTCTCTGACCATGTGAGGCACTGGCTCTCCTTGCCTTCCACTATGAGTAAAAGCTTCCTGACTCCCACAACAGAAGCAGATGCCAGTGCCATGCTTCTTATACAACCTGCAGAACTGTGAGCCAGTTAAAGCTCTTTTATTCATAAATTAGGTAACTTCAGATATTCCTTTATAGCAATGCAAAATGGACTAATGCATGGATGTATAGAGTAGAATACTCTGGAAGATTTGGAAGAAACAAACAAAATGTTCAAAATTAGACCTATAATTTATCGCCATTTTGGTTAATTAGAAATACATGTACACTGCACACTACTACATATTATACAGGATCTATGCAAATAAAAGAAAACATCAAATCCATCAAATTGTTTACCTATGAGGTAGGGGTAGGAGGTTAAATATGGGAGTAAGGACTGGGGATAAAAGGGACCAAATAAATTGAGAGAGAGAGCTTGGAGGCACCAATGATGATAGTATAATGAACTGAGACATTATTAACCTTTTGTACCTAAGGTCCAGCATGAATGACAATTATACTAATGAATTAGATGTGGCCACCTGCATGGAAATTCATTATCTAATGCTAAGAGAATTCCCAAAACATATAAAATATAAAACATGGTGAAGATAAACAGAAAACTCTAAGATCTCAGGAGGGGCATTTTTTGAGTGAGCATTGCCATGGAATGAGTCCAAGTAGAGACAGTAAATAGTTACAGGCACCCACCTCACTGTGCTGCAATTATATATGGAAATATAGATCTGGCTCTATTACTAGACAATAGATTCTTGGAGAATTTAAACTTGGTCTTTTCCTTCACAGAATAGGATGTATAGGACAGTGGATAAACAGTCTTGGATCCAGACTTTCTGGATTGGAAGCTTGCCCTACTACTTCATAGCTGTGGGAACTTGATCAAGGTGCTTAAGGTCTCTATATATTTGAAAAGATATAAGTATCTCTCATGTGAAATGGTGAAAATAATAGTACCTACCTCAAAGACTATTTGTGAGAATAAAGTGAGTTATTTATGAGGATAGCACCTGAGCATATTAACTACTCAGTTATCAATGTTGTTGGTTTTAGCTGTTTTTTTATGGCTGAATGCTTTTAACCCATTAGGTGATCAATGAACATTTATCAGATTGAATTTTTCCTCCCTTCCTTACATTCTACAGATCCTAGGGCCTCCTCTTTACATTCCCACCTTTACAGTATTTCACAGGGGCCCCTGGGCCCGGGGGTCACGGCCAGAATGCAGAGATTTTATGATGAGGATAGTGCCCACGATGATGCCCACTAGGCCCAGCACCAGGCCCAGGGCACAGAGCACAGTCTCCTTCGTCTCAGGCATCTGGATTGGCTCTTGGGCCTCTGGGGAAAGAATGAAGAAATAGGGTCAGGAGGTGCAGTGAGGGTGGTCCTGGTCTGGGATGGGTGTGGGAATTAAAGATTCTTGATCAATTAATTGGACGTTAGGATGAGGAGAGGACTGAGACCTGTCCAGTGGGGAAAGCTGGCGCAGAGGACACCAGGTCCTTGGAGTAGAGGATGCCAGGAGATTATGGAGAGAAAAGAAGCTGCGTACCCCAGTGCTTGAGGAGTGGCTGGTCCAAGCCCCAGTGTTCTACCCTGCAGTCATAGACATCCTCAGCTGAGGGCACAAAGGTCAGGTAATGGAACTTGTGGAAGCTGTAATCTGTTCCGGGCAGGAAGAGACTCTCGGCAACACCCTCAGTGACCGGCTGCCCATTGCACAGCCATGTGACGTTGAGCACTGGTGGGAAGAACTTGTCAATGTGGCAGATGAGGGTATTGGGCTGGCCCAGCTCCACAGGCTCCTTGGGAAACACGGTCACCTCAGGGGGATCTGGGAGGAGACAGGACCAGGTTAGGCCCCTGTTCTGGTATGAATCACAAAGGCTCCACCTCTGGGGGTTAATCTACCTCAGCCTTAGATTTTATGGTGGCTCTGGGTTCCTGAATCACAGAGCGGGTATCATACTACTGACCAGCCTCACCCTGCTCACCTTTCTGTCTCCTGAGAAGGAAGGACACAAGCCCTTGCTGTAGTGGGATCAGCCCATGGCCACTAGGAGAAGGGGAACACACAGCAGGGGGCACTTAGGCTTCCTAGTCTGAGGGTGGCAGAGGGGCCCTCTCATCCCTTCCAGTTGGGCTACAGAAAAGGTAAAGATAGGCAGTACCATTGGTGGCCTGAGTGTGGTTGGAACGCTGGATCATGATATTCAAGTTGCTTTTCACTATACCAATGTCAGCCAGTGCGCCCTGAGCATCAAAGGAAAAGGCTCGGCCAAACTCCTCCAGATGCCAGACAGTCTCCTTCTTGTCCAGATCCACATAGAACTGCTCATCCTCATCAAACTCAAACATATACTCCCCTGTTGGTCTCTGCGTCTGTACAAATGTGACATAAATTGACACATGGTCCGCTGCATAAAGAAAGTGGAGAAAACATGAAAAAATATCAGTATGAATAAGCAAGTGGTGAAAGCTAGAGAAGGAATAAAGATTTATGAATATAAAAGGAAGCAGTTAAGAGGTCAAAGGAAGGACATATGGGGAAGAAGGAGCAACACCATAAAGGAAATAATACAGAGCAGATGAGCAGTTATAAAAAGAAAGGCACAAAGAACAAAATGAAAAGTTTATCATTGATAAGTCAAGCTGCTTCCTGGTCTTTGAAAGTCTGGGCATCCTGACCCTACACAATAGTCATAGAAACAATGACAGCTAACATTTGTTGAGCATGCACTTGTGCCAAGCATCCTTCTACAAACTTTACATATTTCACTCATTGAATTATCACAATAACCCCATGAAGCAAATACATAGCATACTATTTTACAGATAAGGAAATGCAGACAGATTAAATATCAGTAACTTAAGGTCATGTGGCTACTGATGGAACTAGTAGAGACTTTCTCTCCCCTTAAGATCTTAATTCTAGGACACAGATATAAAATTGTTTTTAGGGTCATGGAGTTGGGGGAGTGGACATTTTATTTTTCTTATTACAGAAAAGTGAGAAAAAATAGAAAATTGAGAGGAAGAAGAAAATATTCTTCAAATTTTAGTGCTCTTGATAGTTTCTGTCTCAGTTTATGAAGCTGAAACTGTAGAATACATAGCTTTGTTGGTAATATTTTTCATTTGAGGTATATAAATTCAAAAGTACAGTACAGTTATCTTGGCATTTGTTCCAAACTTGTTTCCTTTAAAAATATTTTAACATTTATTTTATGTTCAGGGTACATATGCAGGTTTGCTATAGAGGTAAACTCATGACTCAGGGGTTTAGTGTACAGATTATTTCATCACCCAGGCACTAAACATTCTAAACTTTTCTTACATTTATATTTTGATTTTTGTTTTAGAGGCCAACTAGAAATTACTGCTGAGTTTGAAATATATGTAGGATTTAATTTATTTTGTTTCTTAGCCTTTATTAGTTTGCAAGAAGTAGCAAAGATAAGAGGATAAAAGCAACTCTCATCATTAAAGAAAACAATGAATGTGTATGTGAGAGTCTGGGTTTAGAATGATAAATGCATGCGTGGGAAAGGACTACACGGCTCATCTGCTCTCACCTCCCAACTCACAGATTTCCCTGTGAGTTTGCAGCCCTGACATGTGGGGACCCACTCTGTGCTTACAGTGACAGGGAGGATAGGACCTAAGTGTCTGGAGGATAGGACCTGTATCTTATTTTTCACTGAGAATGACTCCCTGTCACTGTAAGTGGCCAAGCACAGAGTGGTATTTCAAACTAAACAAAATAAATTAAATCCTGTAGGTATTTCACAAGCAAACTTAGCTTCCACCTCAGTTTAAAAGGCTCAGAGGACTAACCAGGAAAAGAGAGTAAAATGAAAAGACACAAAAATCCTCTAGCAATTGGAAACTCGTCTTAATACGTGAATGCCCCTTGTACTTTTTAAAATGCTTTTTAAAAAACACTTCCACAAGTTCTGCAATCTAAAGATCATCCAGATGTGAAACAGATTATTTTACGTCAAAATATCATTTCCATTCAGACAAAAATATGTATTAAAAGACCATATGTCAAATGCTGTTAGATGCTAAATATTCAAATAAAAATAACACATAGGTCCTGTTCTGCAGACGCTTACAATTCACAGAAGGAAACACAAGTGACAAGACAACGGCAGGTTCAGAAGGATACGTGCAGATTTGTGGGCATACACAAGTTGCGATCAAACAACTCGTCAGAGACGGCTTCCTGGGGAACCAATGGCTTCAATGTAGGCAATCAGAAAACAAGGCAAAAGCCACTTCTCACAGGGAGAAGACAGCCTGACTGCGAGAAGACACTGAGTTGACCGTGGGGCCATTGTGCTTAGAAGATGTGAAAGTCATTTAAGGAGAAATAATACCTAGACATTTATGTATGATGGGTGGTCTCAGGAGAGGAGTTTAGGCCAGAGAACTGAGAGTCATTATGGGCAGGTGCAGATTAGATGAGATTTTCCAGGAAGAGTGGCAAAAATCAGAATTGCAGAG